ACTGGATCCGGGTGACTGCAGTGACCATCTGATCTGGATACAGACTGGATCTGGTGGCTACGGTGACCTCGGAATAAGAAAGAAACAGACTAATATTAGCGTAGATGCCATTCTTCTAACGATGTAGCAAGCACATCGGGAGTTATGGGAAGTGTTCCCGGTTCCGGTTGTCCTAATTAAATATTTTATTTGTCGGTAAACCAGGAGATTCAGGAGTGAAGCTGCTCTCTGCTCTACTGGAGGATCCATACTGTAAACTGAAGAAACTACTGTGAGTGTTATTATAATATTGAACTCAAAAAACTGACTGAAAATACTGCCAAACAAAAACATTTCATGTTAAAGGGATAGTTCACCCAAAAGGAAAATTCTGTTGTTACTTTAGTTAGTAATTTCAAAACAGCATGACTTTCTTTTGTAGAAAATAAATATATTTTGAGATGTTTTTTATCCACACAGTAAAATGCAATGGTACCAAACTTTGGTTGCCAACAATATTAAAAATGTCATATATTGAGTTTCACAGAAGAAAGAAAGGCATACAGGTTAGAAACGACAAGCAGGGAAGTGAATTATAACCATTTATAACCCATGCTGGCAAAATTAGTTGGAATGCGCACAGGCTCATTTTGAGCTACAGACAAAAAAGTGAAAAATGTTGATTTTGGTCGAATTTCAGGTTTTCACAAAAATAAGTTCATTAAGCCCTTGTCTAGCAATCCCAATGCTCCAAATAGTAATTAAACATCTAATATTATTTGTATGTTTTCTGAGAGGAGAACCTTTTTCCCTGCTCGCTTCTTGCACTGCTGCTGACTGATATTGAATCGCGCACATAACAGCGCTTCCGCCAGCCAGGTCAAGTCAAGTCACCGTTATTTATACAGCGCTTTTTACAATGCAGATTGTGTCAAAACAACTCTTATTATTAATAACTTGTCTTTTTTTGGCTGCTGTGACAGTGTATTTGACAAATGCATTTGCAGTATATGGTAGTTTGCTATTTATGGTTTCACAATTACCGTGTAATGGCCTGATTCAGTGAAGTCGTTTGAATATAGTAGTTGTGTAATTTAATGCTTTCACATTACAAACCCTGTTACTGCAACAAGTTACAACACCAGTTTGGAGATTAAAAAATTAGTACAAAAAGATAAACAACATTGACGCACGCAAATATCCGCAATCAGCACATGAATCTCAACAATGGTGCCAAAATATTCAGATAATCGGATCAATTCTGGACATCACAAAAAGCTACTAAGTTTTTTTTCTGAGGCTGAGTTCCTGCAGTTTTAGAGAGGAAGGATGTGCTGCTCTGATTTCAGCTCTGAGATCAAACCCCTCACACCTGAGAGAACTGAATCTAAACTGTAATAAACCAGGAGATTCAGGAGTGAAGCTGCTCTCTGCTCTACTGGAGGATCCATACTGTAAACTGAAGAAACTACTGTGAGTGTTATTATAATATTGAACTCAAAAAACTGACTGAAAATACTGCCAAACAAAAACATTTCATGTTAAAGGGATAGTTCACCCAAAAGGAAAATTCTGTTGTTACTTTAGTTAGTAATTTCAAAACAGCATGACTTTCTTTTGTAGAAAATAAATATATTTTGAGATGTTTTTTATCCACACAGTAAAATGCAATGGTACCAAACTTTGGTTGCCAACAATATTAAAAATGTCATATATTGAGTTTCACAGAAGAAAGAAAGGCATACAGGTTAGAAACGACAAGCAGGGAAGTGAATTATAACCATTTATAACCCATGCTGGCAAAATTAGTTGGAATGCGCACAGGCTCATTTTGAGCTACAGACAAAAAAGTGAAAAATGTTGATTTTGGTCGAATTTCAGGTTTTCACAAAAATAAGTTCATTAAGCCCTTGTCTAGCAATCCCAATGCTCCAAATAGTAATTAAACATCTAATATTATTTGTACGTTTTCTGAGAGGAGAACCTTTTTCCCTGCTCGCTTCTTGCACTGCTGCTGACTGATATTGAATCGCGCACATAACAGCGCTTCCGCCAGCCAGGTCAAGTCAAGTCACCGTTATTTATACAGCGCTTTTTACAATGCAGATTGTGTCAAAACAACTCTTATTATTAATAACTTGTCTTTTTTTGGCTGCTGTGACAGTGTATTTGACAAATGCATTTGCAGTATATGGTAGTTTGCTATTTATGGTTTCACAATTACCGTGTAATGGCCTGATTCAGTGAAGTCGTTTGAATATAGTAGTTGTGTAATTTAATGCTTTCACATTACAAACCCTGTTACTGCAACAAGTTACAACACCAGTTTGGAGATTAAAAAATTAGTACAAAAAGATAAACAACATTGACGCACGCAAATATCCGCAATCAGCACATGAATCTCAACAATGGTGCCAAAATATTCAGATAATCGGATCAATTCTGGACATCACAAAAAGCTACTAAGAGACACAACAAAACAGCAAAAAATACAAAATAAATGCATGAACCAAATAGTTAGAATTAAAGAAAATAAAAGGACAATTCAGCTGCATAATTTATTCATGCTGTGATGCATTCTGGGAGTTTTGTACTATGGTACCCAGCATGCATTGCGACATTACACTTTTTATTGTCATCATTGTTGAGGTTCATGTGTTGATTTATGATGACTGTGTCATTGAAGCACCACTTTTTGTGCTGTTTTTTAGTCTTTTAATGGTTCTGCAATACTATTGATCTAATGCTGCAGTTTTATGCAGCTAATGTATTATTAGCACAACACAATCGTTAGAGTCAAACAACATTAGTCAGTCCCTCCAGGATTTTGAGATTCTGCTATCGCAAAATCAAGCAAATTTCATCATTTTTGCAAGAGCTAGCAAAATGTTTGTAATTCCCACAGATTGTCCGCAGATTTTGGGTTTAGATGTGTCCCGTGACGTCATCGCAACGCGCATTCAGTCAAAGAAAGGTTCCAAAAATAGAATGAACAGCCTTGCGTTCTCATCATGACCGATTTACAAGAGCTACATTGAACAAACGAACCGAAAGCGGAACGAATCCGCGTTACTCGTTTGGGCTACGCAGCGCAGACGTTTATCTGCTCGGGCCGGAGCCGCGGGCTGATCTTGATCACGCGACAACGTTATACACAGCACAGGGAGATACAGTGAAGAGAGTAGTCCAATTCGCCGCAGAATCAATAACATCTCTGTGAAATCTTGTGAGAAGCATTCAAATTCGGCGCAGAATTCTGTTAAAGCTACAAATATCAGAAGAAATGCCACTGATGTGGAAACCAGGAAAACTTTTGTTCAATAAACACAAATCACCACCATTTACCATGGATTTTAAACTACAGGAACAACTTGTGGCAGAAATGGTCTAATGTTTTTGAGTGTTTTTAAATGCCTGACACAACTTTTCCCAGCACTTCAAAGCTTTAAGTATTACAGAATTTTAAAGTTATTTTTAATGTGATGACATTATTTGTTCATGCTTCATAGGTTGCCCCCATTTATAAAGCTAAAAGTTTCATAATGTAGGAAAGCAAACACTTACTTAAAAAATAAAAAAAAGACATTAAAATTACCACTAGTAGATGGCTGCAAAG